TTTTTTTTTTTTTTTTTTTTTTCTTTTTTTTAACTTACAACAGTTTTGATTTTCTTTTGTATAAGCCATTCAGCAGATCTCACTTGCACATAAGATGAAATTATAGGCACTCTTTTAACACGTCTATCTAAAGAATGTGGACACAACCCTTTTGGCTCTGCGTAATCTATCTTGGATTTTATAACTAGATTGGTGTCTGGAGTAGACATGTACAGCCAGGTGGCTGTCTTGCATGGATGCTGTTACAGGCCCTCACCGCAGGGTGGCAGGGGAGCCAGTAATTGCTTGTTTGCAATTAGTAAAAAGCTGCCCCAGAATGAAATCACCTAGCACTGCAGTTACATGACTGGTAGCTTGTTGTGTAGTTACTCTTTGTTTTCTGAGGAGCAACCTTTCTCTGGAGTAGAAAGTCTTATACTGGTTCTAGCTGTACATTGTCTGTCTGCTCCACTTGTACTCCGGAGTAAAGAGGTTGTGCGAATCCACCCTCTATGTCATTTAGAAGAAAAAATGTCAGTGAACTCTAGCAACAGAGTTCCCAGTCCTGCACCTGGTTTCATGTGGGCAGACCCCTTCCCCTATGCATAGGCAGTTATAGAGCCATGACTGTGGAGTGTGTGCCTCATAGCTTAATTTAATTCCTCTAAGCAGGTGGTGGTTTTCTGTAAGAGCCCATTTGACTTTTCCTTGATGAAAGGATTCCTTTTTTTTCTGTTAACCTAAAAACTAGTTCAATAGTCCCATAAGTGCTTATTTGGCCACATTCCCATTTTTAAGGAGGAGAGAAAATCTACTTTGCATGAACAAAAGCTTAGTTTTATTAAAGGAAAAACTACCTAACCACCCCGTTTTAGCATTTATCATCTCGTCAGCCTTGAAATACATATAATATGTAGGTAATAGATACCCTGTGCTCAACATTTCTTTGTTGATAATTGATAACTAGCTTGTGTACCTGAGAAGGATTTCTTTTTCCCTCCCACTACAGATTATTTTAGCTATCCTGGTGTCATGGTTGCTTTGCTTCATCTTTACTGTGACTGACGTCTTTCCCCCCGACAGCGCAAAGTATGGCTTCTATGCTCGCACAGATGCAAGACGAGGAGTGCTGTTAGTGGCACCGTGGTTTAAGGTCCCTTATCCTTGTAAGTGTGTTTCATATGCATTTGCCTGGGCTTGGAACAGACTTGTCGAAATGGGGCGTTTTAAATGTTGCTGTAGAGCCCCGCCTTGGATAAAAGCAAAGTAGGTCTCAGCAGCTGTCTGGAACGAGACTCTTGCAGCACTTGCACGCATGCTAGGAGCCTGCTCCGACACTGGAAATCCAGTGCATCAGAGCAGACTCGATTAATCGAGTCTCCTGGAGCACATAAATTGATGTGCTGTAGCAGCCTCGTGTGTAGCACATCATAGTTTCATAGACAGTTTCATAGATTAAGGGTCGAAAGGGACCTAGTAGATCTT